AAAATAATAAAATTTTGGTAGAAAAAATTAAAAAGAATTAAAAAAAAATGGTTAGACCCGCCCAAGCCAGACCTAAGCTCGATGCTAAGCCCAGGCCCACCGGCTCGACCCAAGGCTCGATCCATCGGCCCCTCCAAAGCCCGAATACCCTTGTGCCAGGGCTAGGGCTTGGGCCTAATTTTTTGGCCCGTGGGCCGACTCGACCCGGCCCAGGAAAGGTTCGTTTGGGCCTAAGCTCGAGCCTAGTCCGAGACCCTAGGCTAGGGCCTGGGCCATCACTTTGAAGCCCAGCCCGGCCCATCAGCCAGCTTAAGGCCCATTTAAGGCTCGATCCGAGGCCCATCCCGCGCCGAGGCCTAAATATTTTTTGAATGGTTAGCAATTTTATGATGTGAACATTCATATTTTAAAATTCATATTGGTAGGAATGTAAAATTGGCCCGTGGGGGCCCGAAACCCGCCTGCGAGCCGAAACGGGCCCGGCCCGTTGACAATGTGAATATTCACATTGACATGTTAACATTCACATTAATAGGAGTGTAAAATTGGCTCCCGTGGCGGCGCGAAACCCTTCTGCGGCCCATGGGAGGCCTGGGGCGGGCCCGGGGCGGCCTATGGACGGCCCGTTGAAAATGTGAATATTCACATTGACATTGACATGTTAACATTCACATTAATAAGAGTACAAAATTGGCCTGCGGCCCATGGACGGCAAAAAGCCCGCCCGCCGCTCGGGGCGGGCCCAGCCCAGTCCGTTGACAATGTGAATATTCACATTGACATGTTAACATTCACATTAATAGGAGTATAAAATTAACCCGCGCCTCGTGGTTGCCCGAAACCCGCTCACGGCCCATGGGCGGCCCAGGACAGGGCCGGCCTGGCCTGTTGACAATGTGAATATTCACATTGACATGTTAACATTTACATTGACAAGAGTATAAAATTGGCCAGCGGCCTAGGGCGGGCCCGACCCAGCCCGTTGACAATGTGAATATTCACATTGACATGTTAACATTCACATTGATAGGAGTATAAAATTGGCCAGCGGCCCAAGGCGGGCCCGACCCTGCCCGTTGACAATGTGAATGTTCACATTGACATGTTAACATTCACATTGATAGGAGTGTAAAATTAGCCCGTGCCTCGTGGCTGCCCGAAACCCGCCCACGGCCCATGGGCGGGCCGGGGCGATCCCGGCCAAACTTCACATTGACATGTTAACATTCACATTGATAAGAGTATAAAATTGGCCCGCGGCCCATGGGCTGCAAAAAGCCCGCTCGCAGCCCGGGGCGGGCCTAGCCCGGTCCGTTAACAATGTGAATATTCACATTGACATGTTAACATTCACATTGATAGAAGTGTAAAGTTAGCCCGCGCCTCGTGGCTGCCCGAAACCCGCCCACGGCCCATGGGTGGCCCGGGGCGGGCCCGGGTCGGCCTGTTGACAATGTGAATATTTATATTGACATGTTAATATTCGCATTGATAAGAGTATAAAATTGGCCAACGGCCCAGGGCGGGCCCGACCTGGCCCGTTGACAATGTGAATATTCACATTGACATGTTAACATTCACATTGATAAGAGTGTAAAATTGGCCCACAGCCCATGGACAGCCCGAAGCTCGATCACAACCAGAGGCGGGCTTGGCCTGACCTGTGACAATGTGAATATTCACATTAACATGTTAATATTAACATTGATAGGAGTGTAAAATTTCCCGCTGCCCGAAGCTTGCCCACGACCCGGGGTCGGCCCGGCTTGGCCCGTTTACAATGTGAATATTCACATTGACATGTTAAAATGCATATTGATAGGAATGTAGAATTGGCCCGCGGCCCGTGGGCTGCCCGAAGACCGCCCACGACCCGGGGCAGGCTCGTTTCGGTGTAGGCCCGAGCATGTCCGAGACCTTAGGTTAGGGCCTAGGTCATCACTTTGAAGCCCGGCCCGGCCCATCAGCCCGCTTAAGGCCCATTCAAGGCTCGGTCCGAGGCCCAGCCCGGCCGACGCGCAATGTATTTTTTTGTGGAAAATAATAAAATTTTGGTAAAAGAAATTAAAAAGAATTAAAAAAAATGGCCAAGCCCGCCCAAGCCCGACCTAAGCTCGAGGTTAGGCCTAGGCCCACCGGCCTGACCGGAGGCTCGATCCATCGGCCCGTCCAAAGCCCGAATACCCTTGTGTCAGGGCTAGGGCTTGGGCCTAATTTTTTGGCCCGTGGGCCGACTCGACCCGGCCCAGGAAAGGTTCGTTTGGGCCTAAGCTCGAGCCTAGTCCGAGACCCTAGGCTAGGGCCTGGGCCATCACTTTGAAGCCCAGCCCGGCCCATCAGCCAGCTTAAGGCCCATTTAAGGCTCGATCCGAGGCCCATCCCGCGCCGAGGCCTAGTGTCTTTTTTTGTGAAAAATAATAAAATTTTGGTAGAAAAAATTAAAAAGAACTAAAAAAAATGGCCAGGCCCACCCCGGTCCGTCCACAGGCCGTGGGCGGGTTTCGGACAGCCACGAGGCACAGGCTAATTTTACACTCTTATCAATGTGAATGTTAACATGTCAATGTGAATATTCACATTTCTAACGGGCCAAGCCGGGCCGACCCCGGGTCGTGGGCAAGCTTCGGGCAGCGGGAAATTTTACACTCCTTGTTCTTGTTTTGATCGGTTTGTGATATTTTGATGGTGGCCTTTTTATTACATGTACGACAATTTCTGTTGACGTATGTCAACCAACCTGAGCTACTGCCACTGACACTTGAACTTGACATCTGCAAAGAGGGACAAATAGCAAGTTAAGTAAAGTTAATAAGTTAAGTTAAGGGAGAATGCTGGAATTATTGCCTTAAAAGTATTTCTGATGAAAAATAATTAGGAAAATGGTATGAAGTCGACAAATCTGATTCAGCTTCACAACTCCTCTGTTTCAGCTTCACAAGGCTGAAAGTGATAGAGGAGTCCTGTAGCTGATCCATTATCCAAGTAGAAGAAGTTCTTATACAATCCTTCATTTTCCCCTTGATGGTTTCATCCTTGTGTGTGCATGCTCCAGAAACAAGAGTTGTGTTTTTTAGGTAAATTACTGATCAGATCCACCTGCAACATGCACACACAGGTCCAGCTGCTAGAAAAATTTGAAAAATTAATGATTTTTCAGGTAAATTACCTGTTAATAGATACATAGATATTTTTTTGGTTCCTTGCTTTTTCAGGTTTTTAGGTTTGATAGATAGATAGATAGATAGGTAGATACAGGTCAACATGTTTGCTAGATAGATAAAATTCCAACAGGTTTGCTAAATTGCTAATACAGGTCAACAGGTTTGCTAAAATTCCAACAGGTCAACAGGTTTGCTAGATAGATAAAATTCCAACAGGTTTGCTAAATTGCTAATACAGGTCAACAGGTTTGCTAAAATTCCAACAGGTCAACAGGTTTGCTAAATTGTTACAGGTCAAACACATGGTGATGAGGTGCAATTATTTGAATTGGTTTTCATTCTTCATTATAACCAATTGCTTATAATTTTCAGGTTTTCATAATTGCTTATAAGCAATTACAAACCTGTTGACCTGTATCTATCTTGGTTTTCATAATTGATTATAAGCAATTGCTTATAATCAATTATGAAAACCAAGATAGATACAGGTCAACAGGTTTGTAATTGCTTATAAGCAATTATGAAAACCTGAAAATTATAAGCAATTGGTTATAATGAAGAGTGAAAACCAATTCAAATAATTGCACCTCATCACCATGTGTTTGACCTGTATCAATTTAGTAAACCTGTTGACCTGTTGGAAATTTAGCAAACCTGTTCACCTGTATTAGTAAACCTGTTGACCTGTATTAGCAATTTAGCAAACCTGTTGGAATTTTAGCAAACCTGTTGACCTGTATTAGCAATTTAGCAATTTAGCAAACCTGTTGACCTGTATCTATCTATCTATCTATCAAACCTAAAAACCTGAAAAAGCAAGGAACCAAAAAAATATCTATGTATCTATTAACAGGTAATTTACTTGAAAAATCATTAATTTTTTAGATTTTTCTAGCAGCTGGACCTGTGTGTGCATGCTCCAGGTAGAGATGCATGCCTGTGTATACTTGCAGCTGGACCTGTGTGTGCATGTTGCAGGTGGATCTAATCAGTAATTTACCTAAAAAACTCAACTCTTGTTTCTGGAGCATGCACACACAAGGATGAAACCATTAAGGGGAAAATGAAGGATTGTATAAGAACTTCTTCTACTTGGATAATGGATCAGCTACAGGACTCCTCTATCACTTTCAGCCTTGTAAAGCTGAAATAGAGGAGTTGTGAAGCTGAATCAGATTTGTCGACTTCATACCATTTTCCTAATTATTTTTCATTAGAAATACTTTTAAGGCAATAATTCCAACATTCTCCCTTAACTTAACTTATTAACTTTACTTAACTTGCTATTTGTCCATTTTTGCAAATGTCAAGTTCAAGTGTCAGTGGCAATAGCTCAAGTTGGTTGACATACGTCAACAGAAATTGTCGTACATGTAATAAAAGGCCACCATCAAAATATCACAAACCGATCAAAACAAGAACAAATTATTCTACTATTGTAATGTTTGTGGTTTTATCGGATGGTGTTTACCTATGAATCCAGAATCTAGAGGTCATCAAATTCAAAGAGACGAAGTCCCAACTGTCGGTGAACAAGTTATGACCTAACAACTTCGAGCTATGACCGAACAACAAATACAGATGACGGAATAACTTCGGATTCAGAACACAAAGATGCAAAAGTTGATATATATGTTGTCCGTGTTGTTTGTAATTGGTGCCTTTAAACTTATAAATATGTAATAAGTAGAAATAAATGTCAATGTACAAGTTCAAGTAGACTTAATACTTTTGTGATGTTTTGGAGGAAGTTATGTTTTGTTATGTATTGAAACCTACTTATTGTACCTCTTTTGTGGTTAGTGGAATGAAAAATAGCTTGTTCAAATTTGTACACTTTCTTCAATACTCATTGAATGGACATTGTTAAATGCAGGAAACTGTTGAATACAAGGTAACTATTGTTGAATATAGGTAAACTATTGAACATGGTAAATTGAATACAGTGAAACTATTTAATATACATTGTTGAATACAGGGAAACCATTGAATAGACGTTTTTAAATATAGGGAAACTATTGAATACACATGGTTGAATACATGAAAACTGTTCAATAAACATTGTTTAATACAAAGGACTGCTAAATAAACATTGTATATTAAATAACAAAGTTTGAATCTCAATAACAAAGTTGTAACATAACCTACAATCTCAAAAATAAAGTTTGAAACTCAAAATAATAGACTACATAATTTCCAATCTTCTCAACATCAAAGTTTGAAACTCATAATAGTAGACTACATAATATCCAATCTTCTCAACATCAAAGTTTGAAACTCATGATAATAGACTACATAATTTCCAATCTTCTCAATATCAAAGTAAACAACTCAGATTAGTAGACTACATAATTTCCAATCTCAAAAACAAACAGTTGGAATACATAGAAACTAGTCAAACAAGTCTGTAATATCCAAGCTTCCCGATGCAGAACCATAAATCTGAGTTGGAGCACTCATCAAACTTCCCCTTGTGCCACTTATGAAGTCCGATGGAGTAAGAGATGTGCCTCTAATACCATGGGCCACCTATGACAATTCATTGCAAAAAGTACATGTTAGAACAATACACTTTGCAAAAGTACATGAAGTACTCTTTCGAATACACTTTGTAAAAGTACATGAAGGCCTCTTTGGAACACGTACCGGTACATACATACTATTCTCTGTGCCAACCATATAAGGATAATACGGTGTTTGAGCTTGTGCTTCACATTCAAATCGGAGCAACTTAGCAGCCTGTATGTTTTGAAAAATAATTACAGATTGAAATTTATGAATTGCTTTTACATACTTCAATAGACTTTGTCAAAAAAAACATTTGAATACACATTTTACCTTTGCTTTTGTTTGTTTTTTTGCCGTTACCTTGAACCGATTAACAATTTGATCTACTTTGGCAATCTTCCGTTTCGTAACTGGACGACCTCTTCGCCGAGCAACCAAAGGACTAATCACCTTCCTACTAGTACCTCCTTGTGTAGAACTGGTGTGAATCGGACTTCTTGTTGAACATGGTAAATTACTCCCATCATCGGATTCTTCTTTCATGACTCTCTCCTTGATTTCATCCAACCCAAGGTCTACAATTCTAGTTTTGCCTTCAGAGTTACCAGCAAGTTGTACAATGGCAATAAATTTTTTGTTTATCCTCTCATAGGTACTTGCATTGAAATCATTCCCAAAGCCAGTGTATGTGGTTTTGATGCATGCGTATTCTCTATCCACATCTTTTCTCCACCAGGGCAAAATGTATTTACTTGGCACCTCATTTATGCATCTTCTGACAAGCACAGCGAGTGAGTGAGCACACATAATGCCTCTAAACTCAAACAACCGACATATGCATTGAACTTCACATTCAGTTGAATTAAAATAGACAACAAAGTCCACATGCTTCATCTTCTCAGAAACTACCATCGCTTCTTGGACATTATATGTAGAAATTGATCCTTCCTCTTTCACAATCACCGCCTAACAGTAAACTAATCTCTTCAACTCTCCTTGAACTTCTTTGAATTTCGCATTGGTGTAGGTTTGCCGAAATTGCTTCTCAAACCTGTATATAGTTAGGCAATCAAACAATTTGTGTCGAGACTTGAAGTCTGCTTTCTTCTCTTTCTTTACCTTATTTCTCAAGGCATTGTCATATTGTTCAATGAATTGCTTCAATGTAGTTTTTGGATTTACATATCCATCAAAAAACGCATTCATACTTTCACTTCGTTGTATAGTTGACATGCCAGCCCAAAAAATGTCTTTAACATAGACAGGTACCTATCGATTCCGCTCATCATATAGTACCCCCAACCACTTATTATCATAAAGATTGAATGTTGCAAGCATCTCTTCCCATTTACTCTCAAATTTAGCTTTTGTCAAACAGTCATAAACTGCATTTTGCATAGCCAACTTTATGGCTTCATACTGAGCATATCATTTCAACTTCTCTGGAATTTTCTTCATGATATGCCATAAACACCACCGATGTCGAGCTTGTGGAAACACAATTTCTATAGCATTTTGCATAGCTCTACACTGATCAGTTATGATAGCTTTTGGCGGATGATTTGACATGCAACTTAACCATGACTTGAATAGCCAAACAAATGTATTAGTGTCTTCACTAGACAACAATCCACAATCAAGCAAAATGGACTGTCCATGGTGATTAACTCTGACAAATGGAGCAAATGGCATGTCATATTTGTTCGTCAAATAAGTTGTGTCGAATGAAACGACATCTCCAAATGCTTCATAAGTCGCCCGACTCCTTGCATCAGCCCAAAACAAGTTTCTAATGCGAAACTCCTCATCAACATCAATAACATAAAAGAATCTCTCACTGTGTGCTTGCATCCTCATAAAATAACTTTGAAGTGATTCGGCATCACCTTCCCCAAGCCTCAACCTTCTAGCTCTCTCAATGTAATTTCTTGCATCTCGCTCGTCAAATGTCAATGACTCGTATCCCCCCGCTTCAACAACCATTGAATGAAAGTTCGTAGACACCCCAATCCCTGCTTGATCATTAATTTCTAATCTTCTCTTCACAAGAGCAAGAATTTTCTTATTCATTGCAAAATGACATGAGTCGGTGGGAATCAAATCATGATTATGCTCAAGGTTAACTGTGGTTAGTTTATATCTCCCATCCTTTTGTACACTACCTCGTACCCTTGTTGTGCAACCAATTTTTGTGGACAAACATGGCTTCAGAGGGTTGACTTCTGATGTCTTTTTTCTCTGCCCCGCTCGAGAACATTCAATTGCAAAGTTTAGCAATTGCCCATCATCTCCAAAATGTTGTGCTCTATGAGCTATAGAAAATCCAACATGCTTAGCATATTTGCCATAAAATGTGTACACCTCTTCCCTTGAGCTAAAACACATACCTTTCTTAGGTTCTTTAACGTGTTCGCCCTCATTTATTAAAGGATTCTCACCAACATTTGAATCAACCTCCATTTTTCCACTTTGCGTACTGAAATAACAATTAAACAAATATCATTTCCATAACAATGCCCAAACAAAAATACTGTTTACAGATTATGAAACTAAACTTCATATTTCATATTTTATATAAACTCTTTACAGATTATGGAACTACACAGTTTACAGATTATGGAACTATTCATAATTGTGAACCAAATTTCATATCTCACATTACTTATCTCACACAATTACTTATCTCACATTACTTTTCTCGCCAACTTTCATATAAATTGTTTACAGATTATGGAACTACACTGTTTACTTATCTCACAAAAATGTCTACAAATTACTCATATTCAGATTACAGATTATATAACACTGCCCAAATTTCATATTTCATATTATATAGCAATTACTTATAAAATAACCACAGTTAATCATAGGTCCAAAATGACAGATTATATTTCATATTATGTTTACAGATTATATTTCAGATTTCATAGGTCCAAAATGACAAATTGATTAGAATTGATTTCAGATTTCCTTCCTTGTACCGAATTTACAATTACAAGTAACTGTGTGCATAATATGTTTACACACAAGAAATGACAAATTGATTAGAATTAATTTTAGTAATTTACCTAAAAAACACCACTCTTGTCCAATGCTAATATATTACCTAATCAAACATAGTACATTCTAGTTCCAAAAAACAAAAAAAACATAGTACGTTCCTTCCTTATCATACGTCTGATCCGAGTTGGCGGTGTGGAATTGACTTTTTAATCAATTTTTTATGGACGAATTCCATTAACAGTTTTTGTAATTTAAGTATTTATTATTTTAATTATTCACTTTTTAATTATGATTTATTTGTTTTTAAATTTTAAATCTTATTTTAAATACGGATAATTAAAGATATCATTACTTAATTTTAAAAATAAAGTCGTTAATTTGATAAAATATAAATTAATTTGACAAAAATAAATATTAAAAAAATATTTTTAATTTTTTAAAAATTATTTCTACCCACTAAAGAGAAAATAAAAAATTATTGATAAATCCTATTTACCAGTGTTTTAACCCAATAAGTCCATGAAGGAATTTTTTAACCCATTTAGTCCCATGTATGTATAGTTTTATTCCATAAAGTCTTTTTTTCTTGATTTATACTATTTTCTTGGACACTCATGCCCTTATATTTAATTTTGATACTCTTATAAATATTTTTTGAATGGTTAGCAATTTTATGATGTGAACATTCATATTTTAAAATTCACACTGGTAGGAATGTGAAATTGGCCCGTGGGGGCCCGAAACCCGCCTGCGAGCCAGGGCGGGCCCGGCCTGTTGACATTGTGAATATTCACATCGACATTGACATGTTGACATTCACATTGATAAGAGTATAAAATTGGCCCGCGGCCCATAGGCGGCAAAAAGCCTGCCGGCCGCCCAGGGCGGGCTCGGCCTGGCCCGTTGACAATGTGAATATTCACATATACATGTTAACATTCACATTGATAGGAGTGTAAAATTAGCCCACGCCTCGTGGCTGCTCGAAACCCGCCTACGGCCCATGGGCGGCCCGAGGCGATCCCGGCCCGTTGACAATGTAAATATTCACATTGACATGTTAACATTCACATTGATAGAAGTGTAAAATTAGCCTGCGCCTCGTGGCTGCCCGAAACCCGCCCACGCCTATGGGCGGCCCGGGGCGGGCCCGGGCCGGCCTGTTGACAATGTGAATATTCACATTGACATGTTAACATTAACATTGATAAGAGTATAAAATTGGCCAACGGCCTAGGGCGGGCCTGACCCGGCCTGTTGACAATGTGAATATTCACATTGACATGTTAATATTCACATTGATAAGAGTATAAAATTGGCCTGCAGTTCGTGGGCGGCCCGAAGCTCGACTGCAGCCAGAGGCGGGCTTGGCCCGACCCGTGACAATGTAAATATTCACATTAATATGTTAACATTAACATTGATAGGAGTGTAAAATTGCCCGTTGCCCGAAGCTTGCCCATGACCTGGGGTAGGCCCGACCCGGCCCGACCCGTTGGCAATGTGAATATTCACATTGACATGTTAAAATGCACATTGATAGGAATGTAGAATTGGCCCGCGGCCCATGGGCTGCCCGAAGCCCGCCCACCGCCCAGGGCAGGCTCGTTTCGGTGCAGGCCCGAGCATGTCCGAGACCTTAGGTTAGGGCCTAGGTCATCATTTTGAAGCCCGGCCCAGCCTGGCCCATCGGCCCGCTTAAGGCCCATTCAAGGCTCGGTCCGAGGCCCAGCCCGGCCGACACGCAATGTTCTTTTTTGTGGAAAATAATAAAATTTTGGTAAAAAAAATTAAAAAGAATTAAAAAAAAATGGCCAAGCCCGACCTAAGCTCGAGGCTAGGCCTAGGCCCACCGGCCCGACCCGAGGCTCGATCCATCGGCCCGTCCAAAGCCCGAATACCTTTGTGCTAGGGCTAGGGCCTCGGCCTAATTTTTTGGCCCGTGGGCCGGCCCGACCCGGCCCAAGAAAGGCTCGTTTGGGCCCAAGCTCGAGCCTAGTCCGAAACCCTAGGCTAGGGCCTGGGCCATCACTTTAAAACCCGGCTCGACCCATCGGCTCGGTTAAGGCCCATTCAAGGCTCGGTCCGAGGCCCGTCCCGTGCCGAGGCCTAGTGTCTTTTTTTGTGAAAAATAATAAAATTTTGGTGGAAAAAATTAAAAAGAATTAAAAAAAATGGCCAGGCCCGCCCCGGGTCGCCCACCGGCCGTGGGCGCGTTTCGGACAGCCACGAGGCACGGGCTAATTTTACACCCCTATTAATGTGAATGTTAACATGTCAATGTAAATCTTCACATTGTCAACGGGCCGGGCCGGGCCCGTCTTGGGCCACTGGCCAATTTTATACTCTTATCAATGTGAATGTTAACATGTCAATGTGAATATTCACATTGTCAACAGGGCGGGCCGGCCCGCCCACAGGCCGTGAGCTAGTTTCGGGCAGCCACGAGGCGTGGGCTAATTTTACACTCCTATCAATGTGAATGTTAACATGTCAATGTGAATATTCACATTGTTAACGGGCTGGGCCTGCCCCGGGCCGTGGGTGGGCTTTTGGTCGCCCATGGGCACGGGCCAATTTTATACTCTTATCAATGTGAATGTTAATGTGTCAATGTGAATATTCGCATTGTCAACGGTTGGACCGAGCCCGCCTCGGGCCACCCATGGGCCGCGGGCAGGTTTCGCTCCGCCACGGGACGCGAGCCAATTTTACACTCCTATTAATGTGGATGTTAACATGTCAATGTGAATATTCATATTGTCAATGGCCCGGGCCCGCCTCGGCCCGACTGGAATTTTTTCGGGCACCCACGAGGATCGACATGGGCCGAGCCCCTACACATTGACGATATGAACATTCACATTGACGGTGTGAACATTCACGTTAGGGGTATTTTGATAATTATG